TCTTTGCACACAGATCTTGTGGACGTTGGGGACACTTTGCTGTGCCCAGCAAACCTAGGTCTCGTTAAGGTGGAGGAGCTGGAGAATCAAGCCCTGCTACCCAACCTGCAACAGAATTACCTGACTGAGCTCGCTGACTCCCACTGTCCTCCCTGTCCTGGGGAGGGCCAGGAAGGACATCTTCCAGGTGGATATCCTCAAGTTCCTGATCCCCTTTGGGCGGGAGGCCTGTCCAGGCTGGGCTGTCGAGGGGAAGGTGATGGAGAGACCAGCTCATAATGACACCGTCCAGTGGCCGCTGTGCCCTGTACATGCCCATCTGGTTCAGTCTGATTCGGCCCCACCCTGAGGTGTGCTGCCCACTTGGTGGGTATTCGGGGTCCAGGACTCCTCTCATGAGGTGCTGCTTTCTACTCAGGAAGAGTCTTTGGGACTTTGACCTTTATGAAAAGATGGCATTGCCAGTCATTTTGGCCCTGCTGGGTCTGGGTGCTTGAGAGAAATGTGTTGTTAGGAAACCGGTTGGTGTTTTTCCCTCTGTGTTCTGGTCCAAATTCCCTGTTTTGGAACAGTGTCCAGGGGGTGATGGGGGAAGGCTGGGGGCTGGGCTGAGTGTCAGCAGGCAGAGAGGCTCATAGGCCCAGAAACAGGCAGCAGTCTGTCCTTGCAGGTGACCCTTGTCCTGCTGTAAAGTGTCTCTTGGCTCACAAAGCATGTGCGTTGGACATGGTGCCTGGCTGCCTCATGTGCAAAGACAGGCTCCTAAATACAGCTGTGAGGGCAGAGTGACAAGGGCTAGTGTTCACCTTGTGGAAACTTTGTACTTGTCTTTGGGCTTGGGTCATGTGTTTTCAAGACCCTTGGTGGGTGGGGTGACCCTGCATTCTGGTGAGACTCTTGGGGAGACCCCTGAATCGGGAGCTGGAGATGCTCAGCTGCTGATTAGAAACTTGTGGCACCATTGGGGGACCCAGGAGGAGCCTCTTCTGCTTCAGGGTGCATGACTCATGGGAGGTGACACCCCAAAGGTCAGGAACCCAGCAGGGCTGTCTACTGAGTGGCAGCCAAAGTCGAGGTGTCAGTGGACATCAGCTCTCGTGAGGGCTGTGAAGAGAGACTGTCCCATCTTTCCCCCTCCTCACTTCCGGGGCTTTGCTGGCCATGGTGGGCATGTCTGGGCTTGGAGAGATCCTCCTTTCTCTTCATCATGAGTTCTCCCGTGTGCCTCTCTGTCTCTCAATTTGTCCTATGTATGGGGACAGCCATCGTGTTAGAGGAGGGTCCATCCTAATCAGCTCACTTGATCTCCATCAGCTCTGTGAAGACCTCTCCTTTGTCTATAAGGTCACGCTGAGGTACTTGGGATTGAGACTCCAAGACCTGACTCTGAAGGGACACGATGTGACTCCTCACACCCTACAAAAGTTCTGAGGTAGGAACACACTGGAATGTTCAAAGGATGGAAGGATGGCCTTCATGGCAACCGGGAGGAATCTGGGGGCGAGGAGAGCAGGCCACCAGGATAGGAAACTGATCACGTGGTGCCTCGTGGGCCTGTGAGAACTGTGGCTCTGCTGTGCTCGGTGAAGGAAAGTCCTGGGAGGCTGTGGGCTGGGTTCATCTGGGATCTTGTCCCCATCCTCATAGCCGCATGGAAATTGAGCCCCCTTGCGTGGTGCTGAGACCCTGCTGAGGTTCAGGCCTACGGCTCTGTTCCTCCCCTCCCTGCTCCAGTAAACAGGGAAACCCCTCCAGGTACAAGGGAAAAGGTGAGGATGGAGGTGTGTGTTTTCAGGTCCCCTGCAGTCATGGGTTATCTCTCTATCCCTCAGTGCCTCCTCAGCAGTTGAACGAAGTGACAGTAACCTAGCAGGTTACTTGGTCCAGGGTGGCCCCAGGGCCAAGGCCAGACAGGTTAGCACGGATCTGCCCTCAACAGCCATGGGCTAAGATGGGGGATCTGCAGAGCATGGGCAAGGATGGGGCTGGGAGCTGAGAGGTCTTTGTCAGCTGTGGCTTGGGACACTTGTATTGTGCACACACAAGCCCTCATGATGTCTTAAGGCCTGCCTTTCTCAGCCTTGCTGTCCTGCCCCTGCACTTGGCATCCCCACTCCAGTGTCTGCAGCTCAGAGACCCTCCAGCTGCTCCTCTCCCTCGCTGAGGCTGGGGAGACCTGAAGGTTCAGGGTTCTGCCCATGTTACCTTCCCTCCCATATTAGAGGAGGCTCCTGTAGGGGCCTTATCCAGTGGGCACTGGGGCCATTCAGCCAAAACCCTCCCTTCCTCCTGCTCAGTGAGGAGCTGGTCAGCCTGGCAGGTTCAGCTGGGCAGGAGGCCCCATGGCAGCAGCAGGGACAGGGCGCCACCCTCAGGCAGGAGGTGCTGGGTTTGGACAGAGATGCCAGCCCCCGGCAGAGTTAGGTCTTAGCAAACCCCAGAGCAGCCCCACAGTACTTCTGATCCTCCTCATCCCTTTCCATCCGTGGGCCTGCTTTTTGTCACCTCAGAGGCATCGTGTAGCACTGAGAAGAAGAAGGCAGGAGAAGTTGGAAGGTAGGGCCATGGCCTGGGGTGGGCAGGAAGGGCGGGGGCTCCAGAGGAATTGAGACCGGGGCTCTGAGACCACCCAGACCCTCACTAGCACGTGTTCCTGGGAAGATGCCCAAGGCCCGTGGCCTCAGTTCTTCATCTGGGAGGCGAGCGGGTGTGAGGAGCCCCGTGTGTTGGGCTGCAGGATGCGTGTGAGGGACGACACAGAGCTCAAGGCCTGGCGGCTGTTAACCCTGTGATGGCAGGGCAGGAATTTCTCACACCGTTGCCCCCAGACACTCCTCCACTCTCCACTGGATGGAGCTGGCTGCTTTGTGGTCCAGGACAGGTCAGAGGATATGCACCTCAATAGGATGTTTCATAAATAAAACCAAAAACTTTGCTAGTTAGACCATAGTGGACCATAGTGTTAGTCGCTCAGTCATGTCTGATTCTGAAACTCCATGGACTGGAGCTTGCCAGGCTCCTCTGTTCATGGAATTCTCCAGGCAAGAATACTGGAGTGGGTTGCCATGCCCTACTCCAGGGGGATCTTCCTGACCCAGGAATCGAACCCAGCTCTCCCACAATACAAGCTGTTTCTTCATCATTTGAGCTACCGAGCAACCCCATTTCCAGTTAGAGGAACTGTGAAATTTGAGTGTGGAGGAGTGTTCCAGCAGGACCCAAGCTGCTCCAGGAAATAGAAGCAAGAACCACTCTTTGCCTGTGTCCCAGCTGATCTTCCATCCCAACCCTTATTTTCATCATTGCAGTGCCAATAAATGTCGACTCTGATTACAATGCCCAATGATAATCAAGAATATTAAAAGCTAGTTAACATCTTGAGTTCTGGGTCCCCGGGACCAGGAAAGAGAGGGTCAGTCCATGGATTTCTAGGCATTACTTCAAGGGAGTGGGACCAGAGTTCTGCAGGATTCCTAGCAGATACAGGGTAGAAAACAGCTACTGCATCCCTGTGGTCAGCAGCAATGCGACAAGAGCCAGGACCCCTTCCATCCTGACCTAGAAGGAGATCTCTCTGGTGTTTATCCAAGATCCAAAGGGACACCTCATAGCAATATCCCACTTCCCCTCACTCCCACAATGCACCTCATATGACTGTGGCTCCTAGATCATCACTCTAGGTGTGGGGCTGCCCTGCTTCTCCCAGTGTCCCCACGGCTAACACAGGGCCTCTCATGGAGCAGAGGCTCCATAAAAGTCTTCAGATTAAATAAGCCAGTGAGCAGGGGGCTGCTGGACTCAGATTACTTGCCACTTCCTTTGATAACCCGGGCAAATCCAAATAAACCGAGATCCCTTAGCTATACAAAATGACATGCGACAAGTGTAAAAAGCAAGAATTCACTACTATCACTTTTTATTTTCTAATTCTTCCACCAACTATGTCACTGCTAAATAAATTCATATTTCTAAAATTGTTCTAATTATAATTCCCTGTTATCTTGTGCAGGACCATGAAATAGAATGGAAGCATTTCCAATCTCTTTTACAAAAGAGAAAACTCTTGTTCTTGAACTGGCTAAGTACAAACACATGGTGATCAATGTCACTGACATAGTTAGAAACCGGGATGCATCATCTTCTATAAAAAGGAATAACTTTTGAAAAATTCCTAAAGAAAAGAGAGATGAGTCTCCATGTCATTGTAGAGAACAGGAACACAAAGATGCTGCACACTGGGTTCCCCCAACAGGCCCGGGCTCTCACTGCTGAGAAGGCTAACTGCTCCCTCTTCAATCATAGAGGGAAGGATCAGCCTCCCTTCCTGTCCCCCAGGACAAGCTGCTGGATGTGGGCCTGGAAGGAGCCTGGCTGCTGCTCTGGCTCAGAGTCCCCTTTCCTCTTCCCTCGCAGCCTCTGCAGAGGGGGTGGAAGGAGCTGGGACCCCTTCAACTGACTGTCCAGATACTCCTGAACTTTAAACTTGTTGGTCTCTGCACATGCCCAGGGAGCCCACAAGAACTCATAGCAAGCAGGGTCACTGTCAGGCACCTGCTGGTACTCCAGGTACCCCTCCTGCACCCACACTTGGGTCAGCAATACCCTGGGCTCCCCATAGATGTAGTGCTCCCTCGCAGGACACCCCCATCCTGATGAGTGCTCCCCAGATCTCCTCCTCAAGGGGCATGGCTGTCTTCCACAGTGATCAAGCACAGGATCACCACCAGGAGGCCGGCCTTGGGCAACCCCTGCCCATCCCTCAGCATCTCATTGAGGGTGAGGCCCAGAGTGGGGACAAGAATATAGGTGGTCTCACTGGGGCCCACCTCCTTCACCTCCAAACCAAAGATCAGCTGCAGGTACTCTGAGGCTTGACCGAGGACAACTAGGAAGTGGTCCTGGTAATCTTTGAGGACACTATTCAGCACTTCTGCCTTTGTGATTGACTCCTTGGCAAGATACCTGCTGAGCAGGAATTGCACCAGCTATTTCTTCTTCACCCATAGTGCATCTCGGAGGGAGGACCTGGCATCTTCCTGCTCACACGAGGTATTTGGCACTTCATCTTGCCTGCTGAGGCCATTGTCTTCAGATTGGCTCCCAAGAGTGGAAGCCATGGCAGTGGGAGAGGGGAAGACACCCAGAGGACTCTGGAGACTGGATATTGCAGCAGCAGCCACCTCCTCCAGGGTGCCCCAGACCGGGAGAGAGGAGGAGGAGGATGCTGCATCTCCTTCCTTCATCTGCTCCTCCTCCTCATCCCAAATGAACTGTGCCTCCATCAGACCCTCATCCTCTCTTGGATCGTGAAAGACTCTCTCAGGCTGGCGGAGCTCATGCATCCCAGGCATGACTGGGGTCAAACAGCAGGCAGAAGTGAGGCAGGGGGACAGATAGGGACCCCAGGTATGCAGGAGAGGGGGGTTGCGAGCATCCTCAGCTGAAAACCCACCCTGGGCTCTCTGAATCAGGCCTCTGACAGGTCTCCTCTTGAGGGGTGCTCTCAGGTCTCATAGAAGAGCTCCTCCAGATCTGCCTGACCCCTGGCTACCCAAAGGAAGACGTGAGGTGGCTCCACAGGTTGCAGTCAGCACAGTGTGAGGTTCTGGGTCTGACATGCTGGGAGGATTAGGGCCTTGTGGGCTCCCCTCTGCTGGGATGGGGAGAACTCAGGGCACCCTCCTCACCTTGACTCTTAACACTACCTGGACCTCCTCTGCTCTCTGACCTGTTGACATGGGCCTCAGACCTCAGCCTTCACCTCCTGGTTTCTGGAGCTCCTGTATCAGAAATGGAGAGGGCACAGAGGGGGTAGTCTGTGGCACAGACGAGCTTTCTGTGCTGGTAGAAGGGGTGAACTCTGTGAGGTCACCCAGTTGTGGGGTGGCTGGTCCCCTCGGGGCTTCCTTGTATTGCCCACTGTTCCCCTGGCATGGCCTGGTCCCTCCCCTTTGGGGCCCTGCAGGGAAACTCAGAACAAGACCTGAGTCTGAACAGAAAGCACTGAGGGCCCCCACGTGTGGCGTCACCTGCCCAGGGCCTCCTGCGGGTCCTAGGCTGGGGAGATGCTAGGTGCTCACCTCCTCCTCACATCCCTCCTGGCCTCCTAACACTGACCACAGAGGTGGGAGGTCTACTCAATCCTGCTTCAGGGTCTCGGGAGTCCATCCTCTGTGGATCTGAAGCCTCCACCCTCTGCCCTAACACCTCACCTCCAGAGGCCCCTAAGCCAGAGATCAATAAACTGCTCAACCCACTCTGGGGGCTGCAACATCCACCACTAGGGCCAGGATCCCTCCCTGCCTTGGGGTCTAACAGCCTCAGTCCTTCCTAACATGGATCCTGGACTCCAGGCAGGGCCAGGGATTCTCCTGTTTGCCATTTTAAGGCCCCACTATTCTCATGAGGTCCCTAGTCTCTCAGAGACCCGGATGTCAGGAAATGCTGCATGAAGTCGTCCTGCCTCAGGATTACCAGGGTCCCCTGTGTTCTGGGGTCTGGCTTCCCTCAGACCTCCCTCAGGGTCCTCAACTTGACTCCCACTAGGACCTGGGCTCCGTCCTCTCCCCACCTGAGGCCCGGCTCCTCACACCAGCACCCCAGTCTCTCTGAGACCCGGATGTCAGGAAGTCAGGACAGGCCTAGTGTGCTCTTCTCACCGCAGAGTCTCCCAGGGCAGATGACGGGGGGGCGGGGGGGTTGTTCTCTGGGGTCTTATCAGTCTTCCCTTGGGGCCCCCTCAGTCCTCCCTCAGGACCTTATCTTGTCTCCAGGCAGGACCTAGCATTCACTCCTCACCCCAAACCTGGCCCTGGCCCTCTAACCAGGTCCACAGTCTTTCTGAAACCTGGATGTCACAAACTGAGGACAGGCCTAGAGCACAAATTCCACACCGAGACCTCCCAGGGCCGAAGGTAGGGGTCGGGATCTGTGGGGTCACCTCAGATTGGGGGTCCAGGGTCCCCTGAGTCCTCCGTCAGTGTACTCCCTTTGACTTCTTGGAGGACCTGGACACTCCCCTCTGCCTATGTGAGATCCCATCCCTTATCCTAGGTCCCCAATCTGTCTGAGACCCTGATAGGGAAGTCAGAACACCCTGTGAAGTGCTCATCCCCATCCCACCACCAGGGATGCCCAGGGCTGGCAGTAGAAGAGTGGAACTATGGGGTCACCTGTGTTCTCCCTCTGGGTCCTCATCCTTAGCCTTGGCAGATCCTGGGATGCCAAAGTCCTCAGCAGAGACCAGACCCTCACAGAAGGGCCTCATTGCCTTGAGGCCCCAGGAGGAGGCTGTGGACATTACATCAGGGGACCAAGCCAAGGACTTCTTCGTGGCTTAGGATGCCATGGGCTGAGATGATGTCCTGGGAGTCACTCAGCCTTCCCTATACTCTTCGCCACGACTCTCAGCTAGTCTGGGCACTGCCACCCTCTGCCCACCTGATTTTGTATCCCTTAGAGACCCAGGCCCTCTTGAGCCAGGACAACTGAGAGGGAAACCGGGGTGGGGGGCTCATTCCCACAACCCTGCCAGGATCTCCCAGGGCTAAAAGCAGTGACGACCTGGATGTCCGGGGGCACCAGAGGCCCCCTCAGGGTTCTACCTTGACTCCTAGCACAGCTAGGCTCCTTCCTTCTGCTGACCTGAACCCAAGGTCTGTGACCCAGGCACTCACTTCCCCACCTCCCAGCGGGATCAGTAATTTCACATCTGGATGCCACGCCCTGTGGTCCCTCAGGGCTGTCAGGAGGGCCACACATGCATCCCCTGGGAACCCTCAGTCTCCTCTGGTCCTCACTTAGAGTTTCTGCAGGATGTGGGCCCCTCCCTCTGTCCACATGAGACAAGCCTCTGACTCCAGGAGTTCACTGAAGAAGCCAGACGGGGGGCTAGGTCTGACAGGCTGGCCCCAGGTCTCCAGGATTCCCACTAGAGGTGAAGTTGTAGTCTATGGGACCCTCTGTTCTGGGGTAACTGGACCCCCTTGTCCTCACTGGAGGGGGCCTCCTTGACATTTTAGAGAAGGCTGCAGTCCTGACAGAGATGCTTGATGGGGGGCCGTGGCACCCATGACTATGGGGGAGCACATGGAACCACACATCTTCTTATGGGAACCCCTTCACTGATCACCAGACTTCGGAAATATTTTGTAGAAAGGATATTTCAGCTGAAGAGAGTAAACAGCAGCAGGTGAGTTAGGGGAACCCTTGCTTTGATGATTAGATATTACCAACTGGAGTGCCATGATTTTAACTTTTTAATTCTCATTCACAGAGAGGAATACATTTCAGATGTCAGTGTGGTGTGTGTCCAATATATATGTATAATGTCTGGAGATTATATGTTCTTATATACTTATATATGGTGATACCAGGTATATGTACGAAGCATGTTCTGTATGTTCCATTACCCAGACGTAGGTGTGTCCACACAGCCCTGATACTCACACAGATACTCACCACACTGTGGATGCTGTAAGAGTCCACCAGCCCCCTGATCACTGTGCTTTAAAGGACAGGCTTCCCCCTGCCTGAGATCCAGTCCGCCTGGGGCAGTGAGACTGCAGGAGAGCTTGGAATCCCCAAGAGCTGGGAGACAGGGGAGGAGAGGGGGCGGTGGAATGAGAGAGCAGGGTTGTAGTCTGAACATAAGAGCCATCTTTAGCTGGCTGTGCCTCCAACCCCTACATTCAAGAACTTTCTCCATCCTCACACACTCAGTCCTACACCCTATCCCTCCTCTATGGCTCTTGTGTCCACTTCAGTAGGGATGGTGTCTTAATGGGGCTAGTGAAAGTTTGTTGCTGACCCACCAAAAGACGCCGGGATTCTTGGCCTCCGGAGGAGAAGAGTTCAATCTGGGGCCAGAGACGAGGCTTGATCACTCAGAGCTTTTGTATAATAAAGTTTTATTAAAGTATAAAGGAGATAGAGAGAGCTTCTGACATAGGCATCAGAAGGGGGCAGAAAGAATACCCTCCTGTTAGTCATCAGCTGGATGTTATATAGTCACTAGCAGTCTGTTAATGAAAGAAAGGAATGTCTTAAAACTCAGAATGGCACCAGGCCCCTCATCCATAAGATGTATTTTGGGATAATCTTGGCACCAGACAATTCATCCCGAGCCATAAAAAAATTGACTTGAATCTTGTAGAAGGGCAGATTACCATACAAATAGTTTCATTTACATAGATTAGGGGAACAATATCTGAGTATAACATAATGGTTTGTCAAGTAGGTTCTGAACCATTAGGCAGAACCGACTTGAAGACAGAGTCTGGGGTAAATGCATAGTACATTAACATAGCTTAAGACAAATATTTCCCAGAAAAATGCATTAGTTAACTCAAGGTTTGAGAATAGTTAACTTCAGGTGAAACCAGGTGTCATTATGGCAACACAGTATTTTAAGAAAAACCTCCTTTTAAATTTGTATAAAGAAGGAAAAAATATCACTAGTTTGTTTCCTCCTGCCACTTAAGAGAGATAAACATGTCTGACACTTGCAGCTTATTTCCTCTGTTTGAAGACCTCTGGCCTTCCTGCCTGTTACCCTCTCACTAAGGAGGCCATGTGGGCAAAATCCTGTGTCAGTCTCTCATGGGCAGTGATGCCTGGCTTCCCTGTGTTTTCTCCATTATGTGACCTGAAGCATCAGGTGGGAGGACAGCTGGATTCCCCTTGACTGTCAGGAAGAAAATTCAGGCCGCTGGGGGGATGAGGCTTTGCACCCACAGGAAACTCGGTTTGAATACATATCCTGCTACCCAATGAAAACATGGACACTCAAAGTCTGGATTTCTCCAGCTGTAAAATGGGCCTCATAACAGTACAAGGTGAAAGCATTGGTGTGAGTCCCCATTTGATGGGACCTGTCTGTAAAAAGCTTGGTCAGTGTATATGGCTATTATTACTGAGGGTCAGAGATGTACCTTCCCCAACATTGTGAAGGTTCCTAACCAGTACATATCTTCAGAGCCTCGTGTACATTGATTGATCCAGTTTTTCTTTTCTCCCTGAAAATCTTTTATGGGGAATGGTAAATATGGCATAACTTGTCTAGACCGAGCAAGGGTGATGGTCACAGTCCTGGCCCAGGGCAGGGCAAATGCTCTGGGCTGTGGGAAACGGCCAGGGGGAGGAGCATAAAGACCTCCAGGTGGACTATCCTGATCCAAATCCCCTCCACAAAGCTCTGAAAAAGAGGGTCTTCCCGGGGGACCCATTGAATGTCTAGGGAAAGTTTCTGCTTTGGACCTACCACCTCTTCTCCCAAGTGCATGTTTCCTTGGGTGTGGAACCTCATTCCAAATCTCCCCTGCACAGCCTGGAACTGGAGGCTCTCCTCTAC